GTATAACAAATTACATAGATGCCTCATGACTTGCCAGTTATGCTAGTGTAATTATAATTATAAATATCTTAACCCAATCATTAGAAACAGTTGTCATAATATCAGATTATATAAATGATTATCCAAATTTTTATTATTAATGAGATTTGAACATCCAACTTACTAATTGGAAGGTTAACAATCTGACCACTTCTCTAGGTTACTATACTCCATATATTTAATATAATTATTAACTAATAAATAACTAATAACTAATAATAAATATAATATATAAAATACAATAATAAATATATATATAACTACTAATACTATTATATAATATGCTATACTAAAATCTACTTTTTAGGTTTAGGTTGTAGATTATATGTCTGAGATTTTTTCTTTATATGTAATTTAAAAGCAAGCTTTTCTTTACAAAAACTTCAATTAAATTTTAATAAAGTTAAAGGCATAGCCTTATCATTAATATTTAAAAAAAAAAAAAAATTTACTTTATAACAATATTGCATACTTCTAAAGTTAGTATTAATGCAACCAGAATTATATAACTACTATTTTAAATATTCTATTTAAGTTGTTAATATTTAGCTTTCTATTTAGTTCTACTTTTTAGATTTATTTATATAATATTGTATACACTTAAAATTAGTTTTAGTACAATTAGAATTATAGAATTATAGCTTTAAATGCTCTATTTAGATTGCTAAATTAGAACTATTTTAATGCTAATAGGATTTGAATTTTGAATCTATTGCTTGAAAGATATTAATCTATACAGATCAAATAAATAAATAAAAAATAAATAATAGGTAAATAACAGAAAATAAACTACTATTATTCTACTCTATATTTGCCAAATAATAGTAGCATAATAGCAGTATAATAATAAAATAATAAAGGGTTTGTTAATATAAGTAACATAATGATAATATAATAGTAAAATAATAAAACAAGTTTATTATTTTACTTTTAGTCTTTGTAACTAAAAGTAAAGTAATAGAATTGTTTTATTATTTTGTTATTATGTTATTATTATATTACTTATATTGACAAATCTTCTATTATTTTACTGTTATTTTGCTGTTATGCTGCTGTTATATTGCTATTATTTAGCAAATATAATATAAAATAATCATATTTTTTTTGTTGTTTATCTGTTATTTATTTTTAATTTATTTATTTAACTTGTACTAACTACTATACTAGAATCATTATTCTTAAACTAAATTTTTTCTTCTTCTTTTGTTCTATATAATTGTAAAATTTAATTTTAACTTATTTAATTAAAACTAAAAAAATCTTTTAGCTTAATGTTAATAATAAATTATATGTTTTTACTATAATTTTTTTTTAATATTAAGATGACCTTTTTGGTCTTTTGACTTTTATCAATGATTTTTTTGGTAATATAATTCTATAAACCATTACAAGAAAGCATACAAATTGGCTATATATGTAACTTTTTTATATTATTTATTTAAGAAGTCTGCCTAAAAGTTTTTTACTAATTGCTATACCTAACATTTTTGGTTAAATGTTCTACTTTAAACCTTCTAAATCTATTGCTTATATTAATATTACTGGGTTATACCCAAATGTTTAGATTATTATCTTAATCTTAAGACTATTTTATCTTTAAAATAAACTTTTTAGAGCCTTTTGTACCTATTTTTATAACAGACTTAGATATCACTATAATATAACTAACACTTATGGTCAGAGTTATATTATTTAATTATTATGTTTTTGTAAAGTTTACTTGAACTCTAGCATTTATTTTATAGCATAACTTTAATACTTTAATATACTTTCATCTTTTGTTTAAACTTCCAATTTAGATAATCTAAATAGAACTACAACTAGTTTATCAGTATATAAGATCAGCCCAATATTTTTTTCTCTAATTTATTCTAGAGCTTGGTTGGTAGTACCTTTAAGCTTTTTTTAACTTAAAGGTTCTTGCTTATTCAAGTACTATAATCTTGATATTTATTTTCTTGGACTAGTCTTTATAGTAGTGTTATTGAAGATCTGATTATCTTTTTATTCAAATCTTTTTAAATAAACTTCTTATTATCCAATTTCAATGAATTTACACAATTACAAAAACATATCTAGTGTTTGTACTACCTAATTATTAGTTTGCATTTCTTTGTATAATTATACAAATGTCTCATAACCTGCCAGTCATGCTGATGCAACTACTATTACAAATATTTTAACCCAATCATTATTAACAGTTGCTATAATATAAATATTATATAAATAATTATACAAATTTTCATCATCAATAGAATTTGAACATCCAATTTACTATTTAAGTGGTTGACAACCTGATCTCATTAAGTTATCACATTTCACTATAATTTTTTTTTTTTGATATTAAGATAACTTTGATTTTTATTAATAACTTATTAGTAATATAATTCTATAAACTATTACAGAAGAGAATACAATTGGCTACATGCATAACTTTTTTATATTATCTATTTAAGAAGTTTGTCTAAAATTTCTCTATTAAGTACTATATCTAATACCTTTATTTGGATATTCTACTTTAAACCCTCTGAATCTGTAAACTATATTAATTGACTAGGTTATATTTAGATACCTAGATTATTAACTTAACTTTAAGATTAATTTATTCTTGAAGTAAATTTTTTAGAATCTTTTGTATATATTTTTACAACTAATCTATATATTACTATGGCAGAACCAACACTTATAATCAGAGTTATATTATTTAATTACTATGCCTTTGTAGAATTTATATAGATTCCAGTATCTACTTCACAACATAACTTTAGTAATTTAGTATACTTCTAACTTTTGTCTAACCTTTTTATCAAATTTTCAATTTAAATAATCTATATAGAACTACAACCAGTTTATTAGTATATTAGGTCAGTCTAATATCTTTTTTCTTTGATTCATTCTAGTGCCCTGGTTAGTAATACTTCTAAGATTTTCAATCTGAAGGTTCTTGTCTGTTTGACAACTATGACTAGATACTATGACCTTGATATTAGTTTTTTCAGACTAGCTTTTACAATAGAATCATCAAAGTTCTGGCTATTATTCTATTTAGATCTTTTTAAATAAACTTCTTGTTACCTAATTTCAACAAATTTATATACCTACAAGGACTTATCTAATATTTGTACTGCCTAGTTTTCATTTTTTTATATAACAAGTTACACAGATATTCCATGATCTGCCAGTCATATTGGTATGATCATTATTACAGATATCCTAATCTAATTATTAATAATAGTTTCTGTAATATGAATATTACATAAGTAATTATTCAAATTTTTGCTGTTGATAGGATTTAAACACTCAACCTACTACTTAGAAGGTTGACAACCTGACTACTTTACTAAGTCATCACACTTTACTATAATTTTTATTATTAATAACATTTTGAACTTTTATAAGAAAAAATCTTTTATAACTGATAAGAAATTACTTTTTGTGTTTTAATAAAATGCTTATTAACAATTTTACTATATAAACTATTTTTTTTTAGATTCTAATCTTGACTTTAACTATTATCTTAATTAATTTAAATTTTAATTTTCACTGCTAATCTTGTATATACTTACAATATGCAAAACTTAACTAGAATTATATTGATATTTGTTATTTAATTATTATTATTTAATAATTTTTATTGCAAATCAATTAGCAATTATATATTAGATTTTAGACCATCTTTGTAATTATAAATATTAATTATTTAGTTAATTTTTTATAAAATGTTTCAAAAATAATGATAATTGCAAAGTGTAATATGTCTATATATAAGCATATATCAAAATTTATATACCTATTATAAACTAAAAAAATTTAATTGTAACAACCAGTTACATATAATTAATAAAAATAATTAAAACTCTGTATAACTCAAACCATAACTCTAATTATTATTGGCTAATCCGAGGTTGTTATATGTAACAAGTTGTTATGAGAACATTTATTTATAAACTACAACCTGTTAGTAGGGTTGTTAATAGGTTGGGCTGAGTTAAATTGGGTTAAACAATTTCTCAACCTGCTCCAGGCTTGCTTAGAGTTGTTCCAGTTTATGTCAGTTTTGCTTCAGATTTTTAGGCATACCTTTAACCCACTCCAACTTGAGTTGGGCTTACTCAGAGTGGCTCCGGAGTATGCTACTTCATTAACAACCCTGCCTGTCATGTGCTAGTATACTTACTCTAAAGTTAGGGTTAGAGATGTGATTATACTGGTATAATAAAAATGGTAATATTACCAGGTGTCAATACTATAGCATAACCACCATTATGCTCTTAGCTTAATATGGTTCTGAATTTTTCGGAATTGCAGATAAAGTAATTTAATTGGCTAATTAGTTTCCATTATTGGTATTATACTATATTTAAGTGTATAATACTGGTATTATACTGGTATTATACCAATAGTATAATACGGTATAGTGTATACTCGCATCCCTAAAGACACTGTTACGAAAAATGTCATAATAAATTAAATAGCATGTAAATTACTTCGAAATTATGTAATAATTTCATAGATACTTTGTTAAGCTTTGTACCAATTACGACATTTTTCAAGCTAAAAATCGATGATCACATTTTTGCATAATCACTAAATTTGAGTCAAATGAGGAGGATTTTTCCTTTCTAAACTAATTGTACAATCCTACAACACTTTTTTTTTAGTAAAATTATATTACTAAATAAAGAACCCTCTTGCTATTTTACCTATTTGGGTTTCGCTTTCTTGTGATACAAATAAAGACGAGCCTATATCTTCGCTCACCTTTGACTAATAATTTGAATATATTTTAATGTTAACGACACTGTGCTAAATTGAACACGAGTGAAAAGCTCTCCCAAGTCGTTACAACACGCCGCTGTAAGCGATAGTGATCAATCACGTGACGGCACATTTTTATTGGGTATACTATTTTAGACGCCCTCTTAACAACAAAACAAAACAAACCTGAATACTTGAGAACTATGGATGAACAATATTCAGGTTATAATGGTAAATTTACGTGAATATTCGTATTTTGTCTTCATTATAACAGACTTTAACTTTTGTTATTGGTTTTCTTAGCTGTTATTACATATTTTTGCAACTTAGAGGACACTCGTTGCACTTATTTCAATTACCTTACTGAGCTGAGAGATGTTATCCTAAAATCTCCACCCTTTTTGGAAAATTGGAACGAACTTGATGGGTTATGGCATAGACGATTTGTACAAGGGGCGGAGAATGCTAGTAAGAAGGTAACAACTTTGCTTTAAAAAAACAAATAGGGCATCAGTTGTTATTATATTACTATATAAAATGATCTAGAGATTACTGGGTTGCTATTATATTGTTATATAGAATGATCTGGAGATTTTTCTGGGTTGTTACCATGTTGCTATATAGACCAGCTCAGTAGTTATCTGCGTTGCTATTATATTGTTACATGGAATGGCCTATAAGGTATTATTATGTTGCAATGTAGACCACTCAGAGGCTTTGGTGGGTTGTTGTTATATTGCTATATAAAGCAGCTTAGAGTTGTTATTATATTGCTATATAGCGTGGCTCAGAAGGTTTTTTTAGGTTGTTATTATATTGGTTATATAAAGCAGCTTGATGTAGTATAAATTTCTTTAAATAAGGTCTACTGGTTCTATAGGAAGAATCGGTTATGTACTTATAATAAAGGAATTTATATCTGAACTTTTCTTTATTTAAAATGTTACGCTAATGAAGTTTTACATTTTTCTAAAACAGATAGGATCCAGGCCTTCGAGCAAAAAATTGCGAATATACTGGGAGGAGATTATTCAGGAACGAAAAAAGGTAAATAAAATGTAATTATTACGGCAATTTGAAAGTTTATTAAATTCTAAATTGAATTAATTAATAATCATAGGCTTCCGTAAAACAAGTCGCCTATTCAGAAAAAGAAAACCTACCACTACCTAAAAGGGTATGAATGTATACTGTTTTTTCTATTAATTTAAATATATTAATCTAATTGTAAAATTTAGATTAAAACGACTAAAAACAATGTGCTAGATGTCAAAGTAGCGCTTAAACAATGTGCTATATGTCAAAGTAGCGCTTCAATAATTACTCTTTTATGCTTGGTTCGTGGCGATACACCCGCAGCATTACATGCCATAACAGTAAAAATTAGTAAAGAAGATACTGTCGGCAAACTAAAGGAGATTCTTAGAGAACAAATTAATGCTCCCACGTATATTAAAGCGAAAAATCTCCAACTCTGGAAAATTGAAATTCCGGACCATTGTGACGATGAATTAGTTGATATTTCTGTCAAAGATCGAGATGTACTTTTGGCAACACGTAACATTGAAGAGTATTGGACCCAAACACCACCAAAACGACACATTAATGTCATCATTTTGCCACCTACTGGTAATTTTCTTTTAGTAATATATATATATATATATGTTTTTTTTTTGTTTTTTATATGCGAATTGGTGTTCTTTTTAGTAATATATTTTCATTCTATACTAAAAATAAATTTTAGATAAAGACTATATACAGCCTTGTTCACTAATGATAGAGTCAAATAATCTTGATTCCAAGCGTCAAAGGATACTTTGTGGTCGGTTTTTTTTTTTTTTTATGCAAAATATTCAGTTGTAACTTTATAATTTATAATTTTTGCATATTACAGAACAAAACAAAAATATAATGGAAATATGCAAAATGCCCTGCCCTTCGGTTGCATCATGTCCAAGAAAGTGGGAAATTTGTAATATAAACCCGCTGAAAATTTTTAATTTGCGCCCCTCAGATTGCCGTGGACCACCAGTTGCTCTTTTTCACCCTGTTTTTAGTCAGTTTCTTGTTGATAAATGCAACTGCAAATTGAACGTTCCAGCCGATCTATATATCCGGGTTTCCGAATTTAGCAAGATGGTGGGACAAATTTATCAAGACGAATCCAAACGACAAGAAGCACTTCGCCCTTTTTTTGCTTCATTATTTGATGGATTTCAGCCAATAAGTTTTATCACCGATAATGGAGCCATTATTGATGATGTATTACTTACTGATAATACGAAGTTTGGGGAAAAAGCCGCGCCCGTTATTTGGGAATACAAAAATGAAATAGGAACAAGTGGCAAAGATCTTTTAATTCAAGCAGGATGTGAATTCGCAAAATATTGGGCTCAATTTGGAGTGCGTTTTTTTGTAATACATTAGTTAAAGTTATACATTAATTACATTAATTCTTAAACTAATTCATTATAATAGGTCGTTAAAATTCGCAAGAGTTCTTGCTGCCCATCTATCATTATAGCCATTGCGGGACCTTGGATTTGCATTCTCGGTGGAATATATCTTGAGAAACCTGTGATTGAACCACTCACTGACTTTATCTTTATGATTGACCGGCCCGAAGATGATGGGAAAAGAGTGGGACAACTTGCCATATTTTTTGAGGCATTACGTCTTGCCTATCGAACCTTAGATAATTATTATAAAAACTTAAGTGAGCCTGATGAAATTGAAGGCAAGACAATACAAAGGTTTTTTCCTTACCGTAATCACTATCAAGTCGGAGGAAATGAGGTCAGGTTTATATACCTTAATAAGCTTACTGAGGAACCGGCAAATTTTGTTTGGAAGGCAGAAACTAATGAAGGCAAAACTGTCATTATTAAGTTCACGAAAAAAATTCAACAACCACCTCTTGAAAGAAAAACAACATACTCCACAGCTTTATTATTCTGACGATGAATCGTTTGAAGGCTGGAAGATGATTGCTTTAGAGTTTATTCAAGACTATTCATACGATTAATGTCTGTACTTATATGGTTTTATGTATATAGATCTTGAATTTCAAACATTCACTATTTACTCTCTTATTTCGCTTATTTTATTATCCAATTAGCCGTAAGGTTTTGCATATATTCCTTTTTAGCATTTACGCATATATATTTTTTAGCATTTACGCATATATTCCTTTTTGGCATTTACGCATATATTCCTTTTAGCATTTACATAAAATGACAAAATTGATTTATACTTAATATTTACTAGTTTCATTTTTCAACTCTAAATTTGATTGAAATTAAATACATACATAAAACACTTCTAAAATAGTAATCAAATTCTAAGTCCTTACTAAATCAATTACAAAAAATGATAAATTTCGATCTTATACAAAAATTTTTTTTTCATTTACATAACCCGGCCGGGTCAAAATTTGCAAACTTATGAAAATTTTTTTTATGTTATAATAACCGTGTGGTTTTAAAACCAATTGGGTGGGCTTTTAATGAATACCAAAAAATTATTTTGTATGGTCTTATTTTAAATAGATATTAATTATTTCATTATATTTCTAACATATGCTAGTTTAAATTATATAACAGAACCTGCAGATTGATAGTAAAGTGGTTAGCAATTCGGATCACAGTTGCAAGGTCATGGGTTCGAATCCAACTGAGGGACAAGACTCACGGTTGAATGATCTGCGAGGATACGCCTAAAATTAATGCATAATCATGGGGTCCCAGCATTACTACCAATCGGGACGATCTACGGACACGTACCAATTCATATGACTTGCACGTACCCTAACTTTAGAGTAAGTATTTTAGCACGTGACAGGTTTTAGATTTATAATAGGTACGTACAAATCACGTGAATCAGTACGTGTCCGTAGACGGTCCGCTACCAATCGAGGGTACAGTCACGTGATATTTTTTATCTTAAAATTCTTCGAAATTTGATTTCAATTTTTTTCTTTAAAAAAAAATTTACTTTTCGTGCTATTTTTATTTTTTTGAATATGTCGTAAAATAATACCCGGTTTTCTTAATTGTTACATAAGAGACAAGCCCGCCAGAATAAGCAGTTAGACATATTCTAAACTTAATTATTAAATAACAATCACAAACAGATTATAAAACTTGAATCAAATTATACACATGATATCGAATATACAAAATCTACATTTTTCAAACACAATCAATATAAATTAAAATTTTCACATTCATTATGTTTAGGATTTATTATAAGACCTTTTGGTTTAAGTAGGATGGTAACATCCTTCTCTTTACGTATTGCTTCTCTTGACACGGATTACATTCTCCACTATGCTATTTTGATCCTTTTAGGCCTGATAGGCTTCATCTACTTTGTTGTAAGTATGCCAGACCCTAAAGGCCTTATACTTATCCTTGGTTTTACCTTAATATTGCCATATTCCCCTTCTTTAGATGATACCCAAAATCCCCCCTCTTAAATAGATAGAGCGCCGTAGAAGCTTAAGTAGCTGGTGGATTCTAATGTGAATTGTATGTAATCCTTCTAACTATAGGTCAATGACAATGTTCCCTAGGCGATCCTTCGGCTAACTCGCCCTCACCCAATCCTGTAGCTAATTGAAGGCCTCAAAATACACCCTTTAAGCGTAAAATTCATTATGGCAAGCTTTGGCTTAATTGGATTTATAAACTAAACTGAATTCATAAACCAAATAAATAATTCAATAGAAGCTATGAATGACTGTAGAGTTCTAAAGCAAACGACTCAACTAATATAAATTTAAAAATTTACGTTCGTTATGTCCAGGGATCATTATAAAGAAGTTCATTATACTAAGCTTCTGGTTTATAAATGAACCTGTAGTCATGAGCCAATTTGACATAAACAAATAATTAATAGAGGCTACAAAAGATTGTAGAATTTTAAAATATACTCACGAGTCAAATAATGGAATAAACCAGTCTGCCCAAATACAAATCATTCTTGTTAGTAAACTCTTGACATAATAAAGAGTCTCTGATTACGAAATTATTAAACTTCAACTGGATGCAAAGTACTCTCAATATAAGTTACAGTGAAGATTTTGTCTCAGCTTGAGGATTTCATTATAATGTGAATAAAAAGTGGTTACTAGCTAATCATATCAGATTTGGGGTTGAGATAGTAATAATGATTTACTGCGATCGCGGAATTTTTCTTAAAAACAGCTAAATCACAGAAATTCGTCTTAGTTACCGCAGAACACCACAAAGTCTGGGGTTTATCACTGCAAAATACAACAGAATCCACAAAAATATTCCCATGTATCAATCATAGCGAAAAGTTTCAAAAATAATAGACAATTAATAAATATAAAACACGAACATCACAGAAATATTTCTATACTATCACAGTAAACAAATCCCGAGCTATTTATATGTATATAGGTCAGACGAGCTAAAAAAAAAAAAAAAAAATTTAATATTTTGATCAAATATATGCATTTTTGGTATAGAATAAGCAAACTTAGATATATGGGGGTGAGTCAATAGAAATCAAGCAAATTGTTTTTATTGAAATTTTTTGAAACTTTAAACAACAATAATTCAATAAAAACTTAATCAAAATTAATAAAAATTTTTTTAAATGAATTTTACAAATATGTAGCATTTATTTCAAAAAAATTTTATAAAATTTGATAAAGTTTTAGTTAAGTTATCATTGTTTAAAGTTTCAAAAAATTTACTTAGAAAAAATTTGCTTGATTTCTATTGACTCAACCCCATATATTAGTTTAGAGTTCTAGTAGACTCTAATAAGCAGTAATACGTAAAGGTAAAATTATATTATTATTTATTATTATATTAGAACAATTTAATTAGACCAATATTACATTATTCTAATACGTACGTATTTCAACGCATACGTATATATAGTTTAATGTAGAACATCGTGTAACATTCCGGTCTATCATCCAATCACAAAGAAAACCTGCTATACACCTATATATGGTTATAAGGAATACATTTAAAAAATCTAGTGATCATTCTGATTTAGATTAACGGTTAGAACGCGCGGATCATAAAACTCAGCTGATGATTTTACTATAAACACAGATGCCTTGTAAAAAAGTGTGAACCTCTATAACGAAAATAACGATTATGAACGTTTTAATAATACATACTATATTACAAAGTACAAAAATAGGTTGATGCTCAAATATTTAGATCAGTAATATAATAATAAAAGGAATGTTGTATAATAATTCTTATACTATTTAAATAAAAATTAATCTTAAAATGTTTACATGTTTTTTTTAAAAAAATTTTACTCTAATTGATACGTAACCCTTTCTTTATTGCCCAGATGAATACTAATTATATTTTACCAGAACTTGAATTCCATTAAAGAATTAATACCAAGATATAGGCAAAATGCATGTATGAACCCGATGAACAAAATTGGATTGATGCATAAATCTTTTTTTTTAAGAATGGTAAAAATGTAAACCGATTTTTGTAACTAATTTACAATATATAGGCAGTCATTTACTAGACATTAGTAGAAATTCCTCTCGGAGGCTTTTCCAGAAATTCTCTAGAATATCTATCCTCAAAAGATGAAGAACCGGAGGGTTGATTTTCTAGTTTCCAGTGTTTGATCTTTTCATCGAGTTCGTCACGGTATCGATACACAATGGCGGCAAAATAGAACTATTAAATAAATAATATACAAATAAAATTAAAAAACTTAGTCATCGATAAAAAAAAACAAAAAAAAAAACATGAAAATACGAACCGTGAGTATAATCGCAATTGCAGTGAAAATAATGAAGAAGGCGAGGTACCACTTGACGGCAGTTTCACAAATCAATTTAGTATTGTTAGTAACAGTGGTGTTCGTAGGCTCATCGGCTCGTTTGTCAAATGGTTTCAACCAATGTTGTTCCGGATCCCATGTATCATTTGAGGCGGCTTTTTGAAGACACAAATTCACAAGAGTGTCACTATTCTTCATACCCACAATTGCGAGTCCAATACCAAATACTAAGTGAATCATTGCAGTCACGCTAATAATAACTGCGAAAAGATGGACCATATTCCTATTTTGCTGTTGAACATACGATTCAAAATATCAAGAATTAATTAATCAATTAATTAGGAATAAAATGGAATTTTGAAATTAATGAGTTAAATTACCGCGATCGCTCCATATAAACCTCCAAGACAAACAAAACCTTTAATAATATGCCAGATTCCATTGACATAACCGATACTTGTGGTAAATGCTGTAGAGTCTGAAGAAAAGACATAAGAAAGTTAATAATGAATGATTCAAAGAATGCTTAACAAGTCATGTGACCACGAGACAATAACTTACTATCAATAAATCTAAAAGAACAATACGCTCCAATAATACTTGTAGCCTAACAACACGAATATTATTCACGAGGTCACACAGACTAACAAAGAGATGAAAACTTTATCGAATACGCTTACCAGAACGACAAGACTTATTAGAATTGTTCCAAAACGTAGATTAATGCTAAGCGTTTTGATGACAAGTACCAATGTGAAAGAAAAATATGGAATCGAATATAAATATCAATTATATCTGCAATGGTATTTTGTAATTTCATGTAATAATAACGTTAAAACATACCAACGGCAACACTTTTGGGTCATATTTAAAGTGGTTCAAAATATTAACAATTATTTTAGAAACCAGAAATCTTGTGCGTCAAATCGATAGGTCCAAAAGGTTAAAAATTATTATCTAAAGTGAAAAATAAACGAAGTTGTTAAAAGAGACATGAAAATTACGCCTAATTCGTTTGTAAAACCAAGAAGCGTCGGCATCCCCCATTTCTTTTAATCCGATCTCTTATTTTTTAAAAACGTAAGCATGGCTGAGTAAAGTTGCTTAGCAGTTATCATTATTTTATTATGCTTATTGCATACAATGCATCCATATATATTTTTTTTTATCCACATCGATATCACATATTACGATTCTCATTATAATTATCGAAGTATATATAGTGTGTTCGTTAGTGTGGCTGTAACATGTTACGATAAAGACACGATGATTTAATTAACGCGCTACGCCATAAAACTAAGACACGATTCAAATTCTTCATTGCCTTGTTTTCTATTAAACAAGCTAAAAACTGGTTTAACTATGACGATTGTTGCGGGTCTTAAACTTGATGAACAAAACAAGCCTTATTTTTATATATATAAAAAAAAAGTGCGAAATAGCTTAGAGAATACATCGGTCTATTATTTGTTAATAAAGTATGAAATCCGAAAATTGAGCTCAAATGCAAGATATAATTTAATTTCCTTTTACACAGCCATTACTTTGCCATTAAAAAAAAAAAGAAAAAAAAAACAAATCGATCTAATCTTTGATCGAAACTCTTTCGTTATTAAGTCATGTGAACAATCTCAACATAAAGCTTCAATTATTATTATTAACCATCACAGAATTCTTATGTTCATATACTAAGTATATACAAATATGTTTTTATTATGATTTTATGAAAATAGCAAACAAGAATCAACAAGAATTTACAAATAGAAAAAAAAAGAAAAAATTTATACATAAAAAGATAAGAGTTAATTGTCTTTCCTTTAATTCGTTAAAATTGCCAATTGCTGTATCCGCAGTAATTGTCGTTAGACGGATTCTCTATATTGAAACCATAAATTTTGTTTGGCGACGGCTTCAGCAATTTCTGAAGGTAAATTATTAACAAAAGATTGTTGCTGTTGTTGTTGCTGTTGTTGTAACTGTTGTAAGGTGATGGGATCTTGCTGTTGCAATAATTGTTGATAAGAAGTGGATGAGGCTTGATAATTTTCCCATTCACTTTGAACTATGGATTGGATTAGCTTTTTAAAGATAGGTAGTAAAAAAACGTATTCAGTGACTTTCTGCCTAAGAATTACTGTAATACAGATACAGATTTAAAACAGTACATTAGGAGGAGTGATTACTGTTTTAATAATCTTTGTGCGAATTAGAAAGCATAATAATCAAACAATATTTTATATAAATTAAGGTCATACAAACTTAAGAAATTGGTTCTCATAAAATAAAAATTTTAAAAGCGACCTGGAAACCCGGCAACCCGGCTTTTAATTTTATTTTCAAAAAATTATATATATGAAATACATATAAAATTTTTCATAATTTTTTTTTTAAAAAAAACTTACCCAGATAGTAAATATACTTAAAATTTTTTCGTAAAATTTGACTTGGCCGATTATGAGAACCAATTTATTAAGTTTGTATGGCCTAAGAGCACAAACATTTAATGGAAATGCTAGCAAAATATATTACAGTTATGTATAAGTAAGAATTCTACCTTTTGTTGTTCTTCCCATCCTTCATCATCACTAACATCCATTACATTTTCTAATCCTCTACGCTTTTGAAAAGCCTTAAAGCGTTCTTCTTTAAACAATTTTTTGATAACAGTTTCTCTAAAGTCCTAAAAAAAGAAAAGAATAATAAGATGTCAAATTTATGATAAACACAAGAAAGAAAAAAAATTCTGACCTGCATCCACATATCAGTATTGAATTTCATGACTGGTTGGTGGTGAGCATGCCTAGGAGGAGGTGAATGATGACGTTTTCCATGATGAATATATGAATAATTTTTTCCGGACTCTATCTTATCATTTAAACTTTTAGAACGACGTCTATAAGTATTTGTTTTTGAAGAATGAACATATTCATGATTACTTAATTCCATTTTTATGAACTTAACAATTCGATTAAAAATATGAAAAAGTGAACAGCAGATTTCAAACTTGTATTTATTATACTAAATTTTACTTGTATATCAGATGATTCTTTATGGTGACATCATGAGAAAAATTATTTCTATCGCTATAAATTAGGCACTCAATATGGTGATACGAAGCATAATCATTATGATCCTTGAGAATAAATTTGTTGGAGAAATAAACATTTAAACTTGTGTTTACTCCTTTTTAATGTCCACATGATAATTATTTTAAAATTAACGATTAAGTGCTATTGCTAGCTCCCGAAGAATCTAGAAAATGATCAGTTAACAAATAAAATGATCCGTTAACCAATGAAAACAAATCGCGGGGTTGATTATCTTCATTGATCGTCCAATCACCTTTTTTTTTTAATGTTCATCGAGATTCTCAATTAATATGTCTGAAAACGAGAGTGACAAGTTCGCTGAGGATGATCTAAGGTCTGCTTATTTCGCAAATTAATAATATTCTTTAATTGTGCTTATGGTGATATTCGGAAAACAGTTTATCCTCCCATGCGTTATCGGCCCTAAATGAATTTTTTTTGGAACAGCAAGAGCAACAACAAAGGTTCGAACAACTAAAACAAAGCTCTTCAATTCAAATTTATTCGGATACAGAACAAGACAAGGCCAATGGTGTTCATATGGACTTTTTTAAGGAAGATTGGCAGGTTCGAAATTCAAAATCTTGTATTAATTTTTTTTTTTTGAATGTTTTGAGTTTAAAACGTTTATTCTTACAGCTAAGCCAGTTTTGGGTAAGTTTATATGGTATTATCTTAAATTTATACCTTGCAATCTCTTTTTTTTTTTTGATCTTAGTTTTTTTAAGTATTCCAAAGAAACAACTGATATAATAATTCAAGAAGTTCTAATGCACACAAGTGAAGAGGACCGTGTTGCATGTATTAGCACTCCAACAGTATTTGTCAAACTAAAAGTAAGTTCATTACGGAATCTCAATACGTTTTTTGTTATTAAATTGTTCTTTTATCTTTTTGATTCATTAGTCAATTACTCCAGCTCTAAAACGATCGATCTATCTATTCGAATTTGACACCCGATTCGATATATATGGTTCCGACTTCTTTCGATATGATTATAAAACTCCTACAGAATTTCGCGATTGTTCAAAGCTTCGAAATACTTTTGATTTTATTGTAGTAGATCCGCCATTCCTGAGTGAAGATTGTTTTACTAAAACCATGATCACTGTTAGATGGCTTGGGAAAAAAGACACCTGCAAGATTTTATTGTGTACTGGTAAGATTCACTTCTTCAATTGGGTATTTACTTTTATTGGGTTGGAACCTAATTGTGACCACTCTAGGTGCAGTTATGCAAGACCTGGCTGATCGATTAGTCAAGGCTCGAATGACTTCTTTCTACCCTCAGCATCAAGGTGGATTAGCCAACGAATTTCGCTGTTATATCAATTATCAAAGTCAAAATATAAAATTGGATTAAAACTAGCGTCAGATCAAAATATAAAATTGGATGTGGATTAACATCATGGTAGATGCACTTGTTATTTTCCTTTGACATCTACTATTTTTTGTTAATTCCCCATGGTCTTGACATAGCAATTAGGGGATTATTATAATTTAAAAAATTGAATCTGTCAAAAAGAAAAAAAAACTAAGTAGTAAGAATAAGACCATTCAAGCGTATTAGTTGTATTAGTGTTCGATTACGTAAAAGAGTTGTATTTTTATATGCCCGGGCAATTAGAGTTATAAACTTGTATGTATTTAAACCGATCTTAGAAGTAGACATGACAAATTTAATAATCTATTCAGGTGAACTATGTGAATTACATTTATAGACAGGCAAAAAAAAAAACCATCAATTCGATTATATCAATTGCAAGACTTTGAAAACCAATTTTATTCCATTGTGGAGAATAGAAATCCACAGAAATGTTCAAGAAATAATGGCATCTGCATTATTACCCATAAATATTTCGTATATTCTTTTGGACAGAGCTTTGTTGACATATCTATTTCGATGCCCTAGACCGTTATTTGGAATCTGTATAAAAACAAATCAAATTAAATAATATTGTTCTTTTTCATGCCACACACAAAATAAAAAATATAACCAAGGATTAATGTTAGCAACGTCACGTGTTAAGTTACTTTAGGGTACAAGTCAGCATTAGTCCTGGTTTTATTATACAACTTAATAACATATCGCACTACCTCAACATCAGTCAACAAATTCTCTGCCTCTTCTTGAGTATGACATCCATTATACGCATCATATAATGACTTGATAGTTGAATGTCTGTTTAGAATTCCCTTTGCTACAGGCTCAGTCACGTGCTGGACCTCTTGTAGCATACGGCACCATGTATCGCTGTAGCCCGTCCCAGTGCGGATTTGATTCTCAACCCAGAAGTTTAATTCACCATTCCGATTCCTGTAATACCAAGGTTGCCTCTTTCGAATATGATTTATCTGTGAAAATACTAACATACGATAGCTTACTTGTATGGAATTTTTGCGATATCAGACGAGAGGACACCTATGATTTCTGCAGTTTCCTCAGTATCTTTGGTATGCACAATCATAACTTTGGCAATAAGTTGTAGCCAGATAAGTTCTTCTTCTATCTTTTCTTGATCTGGTCCTTTAATAATTGTTTGCTTCTTTTTTGATTGACCGTCTTTCTCAACACAAAGATCTATTCCGGTCCGAACAGCATTAGCGAAAGTACGATTATGTTGTATTTTCTTCTTGCGACAATACCCATCAAAACCTTTTATCAACAACACAAGCTTCTTATTATGAAAAATCTTCTGCAAACTAATGATGTGTGTGTGTAACGAATCATTTTCTATAAATTGAACAAAAGTTTCGATTTCTAAATAATAAAATATATAAATTTCTTCTTGAATCGTCTCTGGGATTGGTACGAAGGCGCTTAATTCGTCATTCCACTCTGCTGTAACTTTTCTTCGAAATTTAATAATTCCAGGAACACTATGTTGAAACGTGTTGATTGTCATCATTTTCTGTTCTAAATGGTCGCGTATTAAAGTACCGAGTGTTCCCTCCACCAAACTATTTTCTATATCAACAATCATTTCTCGTGTCATTTCAAGTTTGTCATATTTTAGTTTGTTAACTTGTTGAAATTGTTTCTCTTTTTGTTTCTCAGCCTCTCGCTCTTCCTGTTGACAAACGCGTTAATGCTGAAAATGTGCTACTATCGAATATTTTAACGCAAACATACTTTTTTACGTTGACGTTCCAATTTTTGTTCTTCTCTTCGACGTTGCTTTTCCCAGTATTGTGAGTATAATGTCTTTTTTCATTCAACATATCCAATTCATAGTTTTCATTACTTACTTTTTCTATTTTCTCGGCTTCCTTCATCCGTTTAAATAGCGTATTGACAAAAAAAAAACAAAAAAAACAAAAACCACACTGAAGATTTCTACAGTAATAGCAATAGCAAAGAGCCTATAGATCATTGTTTGATTCATCGCGAAATTATAGTATCCATAACAGGAGGGAACGTACCTAAAAATAGAACTGGTTACACAATTTATCAAAGTCACAATTTATACAGTTTAAAGTGCTTTTTCGGTAGTTCATCTTGCCTATAAAGAGTGTATCGGCTTTCTTAAAACTTAAAAGTTCTTGTGACGGCGCATAAGAATATTATTATTGTCAACCATGTCTGGAAATAAGCCTTGTTTTGAATGTTCAGCAATCGAATCTTTTAGATTTCGTTTATTAGATGGAAGAAAGCAGTAAGTAAGGGCCTAGTAAAAGAAAACTGGGTAGAAGATATTATTTTATGTAATGCTTGTTATATGAGTTTGGTTGCAAATCCTTTGAAAAGAGGTGTTAATTATTTGAATTATGCAAATAAGAAGATAGGTACAAGTAAATTTAACAAAAAGCTTAAACTTTCTAAGATTATTAAAATTATAATAAAATTTTTTATAATTGAGAGCATATAAAAAAAGAAAACATTATTTATTTGTTTAAAGAAATATATGATTTTATTTTTTTGGTATTAAAGTGAGGTTTTGTTTATATCTTTATTAGTAATTTAAAATAGTTACATATATGTATGCTATGGTTAAAGTTAACTCTTGCAATTAGGATTAATTATTAAAATATTAATTATACAACTATTACTATTTGTTTTTTTGTTTTTTTTTTATAGTTAAAGTCTTTGTTTTGAGAATATGACATTTTTATTTAAGTATTATAGGACACGGCATGCCTCCAGGAGCTACCTATACATTGGAGGTTACAACTAGTCATATGTGCACTTTTGGTGTCTAATTTAAGTAGTTCATTTATATATTGTTATATAAGTTCTATACTAGTTGTTATACCTGCAAGCCAACTAGGGGTCTTGCTTATTTAAACTTTCTGTATATGCAATCCTTTTTGTATCATAAGAACATCTCAAGGTTACATCTATTCAAGTTCCTAATGTTAGTCATTACCTTTAGGACTACTTTATCTTTGACAAAAAACTTACTAGAGTTTTTATGTCTTATACATATAGACCTAGTTTTATACAACATGTTATAGTTACTTAACACTTGCAGTCACAAGGGTTATCTGTTTTAACTACTATGTTATATTATTTTTATTCTTGTAAAGTTCACTAGAACCCTAGTACCTATCTTTTTGACATTTTTTTCATCATTCTTTACTAACTGCAACTTGGAATTAGCAGTCTTTTTCAGACTATCAATCCAGATAATCTGGTATAGTATACTTCTGTATCTTTTTCTTTTGACAAATCTGGTGGCCTGGTTGGTTATATACTCCTCTACACATATTTAACATCTGATTTAACCTTCAGTTTCTATGAAAATGTTTTATGAACATCAACCAGTCCAATAATACTATTAAAAGTTCATATTACTTCTTTATTCAAGAATTTTTAAATGAAGTTCTATCACTTTGGTTTCTTAGTCTTTTATACTCAGTAGTCTTATTATGAGTTTGCACTAAAGTCTTATGCAATACTAATTATACATTTCTCTATATACATATAATATTACACTTTGCATAAATGTTTCAAGCTCCTAATATTAGTAGGACCTGACTTGATATACCTAAGTTACAGTCACATAAGACCAACTAATTAACAGAAAACAGTTATCATAATACAGATATAATTTTCAAATTTTATCATAGATGAAATTTGAACCTTAGACCTACTATTTGAAGAATAACAACCCAACTACTACACTAGGATCACTATTTTTACTATTACTATTTGAACAAAATAAATAAATTGAAAATAATTATAAAAGATAAAAACTCTTTTTATAAATCCTTTTTATATAAAAATAACTAAAAATCTGTCAATACTAAAATTACTAATATCTGGTTATTTTATTATGATAATCAACTTTAGTGCTTTAAATAAACTTGCTTAGCTCTTAATTTTATATATACTCTAAAAGTATCAAGTCTATAACTTTTAAACTTACAATTTAATACTGCCAAAACAGTCTTTGGTTTTTACTATTAAACTTTTAATTATTTTTTATAAAGTATTTTGTTAATCTATTTTACAGTTATAAGAAAAGTTGTAAAGCACTTTCTTTTGATTAAAACAAAATTAAAAAGAAACTTATAGGTTTAAAATTGATGAAATTATAATAGAAAACAACTTTAACTCCTTTGTAAATTTTTATTTTTTTTTTTTATTCTTTTGTTTTTATTCTTAAATTTTTTTTCTAAATCATTTTTTATATAACCTCAAATTATTTCTAAAATTGGTTTCATTTAATTTCATATTATGTAAATTAAATTTATCCAAAAAAGAAATTTATTTGTTACAAATTATCTTGTACTAATTTGCTAAAAATAAATTTTGTATTTAATTATACAATAGTTACTATAATATTTAACTATTTATAAATTTATATTATATTAGTCACACCTGCTACAAACTTGTGTTACCTAGATTACATAAGCCATAGCAACTACAGTAACCACAGTAAAACCTCTGCAAATACAAATTATATTCTATAATTAATCTTATATAATAATTAAACTTTTAAAAATCTTTAATCAAAGATTACAAAAATCTTTACTAAGTAATCTAAACTTGGACTTCTAAGTAAACTTATAGTACTATGCTTACTATTAGTGCAGAAGTACCAGATACTTTAGATCTTGACTATTTCTTTAAGAATTATACAAGTTCTTATAGCATTGCCATTTATAAAAAAGAACCTAAACAAGTAAGAGCTATTTCAGACAAATACAGACCTACCAAATGTATTATTATAGAACTTAGATCTTATCTAGCAACTCATTTTTTTACTCTTGTAACAACTGCAACAATCAAGTGTATGTGTAGATTATTCCACACTTAATTTATTACAAAAAATAATAAAATATATAAATTTAACAGTAAAACAAATAAAACAACAATTAACAAATAAACTAAAAAACTTCAACAAGCATTTGCAAAATCTAAATCAAAAGTTCTATCATCACTTACAGCCACTATTTATATACATATTTGCTTCAAATACCAAATTTTAATAAACTGTAAAGTGGCTAATAACAATCATATATTACAAAATAAATCTATCTTCTACTAAAATATAGTATACCATAATAACTGCTTAGCTGAAATTTATAAAAAAATCATCTTAGCCAATTAATCCAAACTCCAACCTATTGAAAATCCTAAACAAGATCCATCTTTACAATATAAATTTCCAACTTGACAGTTTGTTAGTTCTTTACTTGATCAAAATCCAAACAATCCTCTTGTCTTAGAACTTATATCTATTTTACTTAACTTCGAAAAAACAACTATTACTAACAATAATATAAATATTGACAGCTCTACTGCATCACCTAAATTACAACAACTACTACTACAAATTTAATAAACTCAATAACAACAATAACAACCTTTACATCAAGCTTTACTACTTCTACAGAAATAACAGTCTAACAAAATACTATTTTAACAACCTCATCTTATAGCCAAGTAACAAGACCTAAACTCAACTCATTATATGACTTTTTAGCAAACTTTTCAGTTACGAATGAAATACAAAACCATACAAAATTATAAACAAAAATATTCTGAAAACTCTTTAACTTTCTAAAAAAACATCTTTATAACTTCTATCTTGACAAAATTATTAAAGAAGTAGTTGAAAATTAAGATTCATTCAAAACAAGCTTTTATCTATTAATTAGACAAATGGCTAATACTAGACCTTAATTTTTTATCAACTTAATCTAACAATATAACTTTGACAATGATAAAGCTGCTACAATACTATTTAATATTTTTAAAAAACACTGAAAAAACTTATTCTTATATTTATAACAGTCTTTTTTACTAAACTTAAGTATCCAGAAATATTCACTTCTTCTGCTACTATTTTACTTATCCAAACCCACAACTAATTATAATTTTACATTAATCTTACCTGACTTCATCTATATCTTTCTGATAACTATTAAGCAATTAACTATACTAAATTCATAAAAGATATTAAACTAAGATCTAAAAGATTTAATTTAACATCTAAAATCACTAAAGTTAATAAACAACATCAGTTCCTCTTTATTAAAATAGACAATTGTTTAATATTAAACTTAATTTCAACCTTTCTAAAACTATTTCCTTCAAAAATACAATATACCATCTTTAAAAAATTCACTTGACCATTTCAATAAATAGTTTGAAAAAATTTTCCCTCTATATAGTTACCAATTCTCTAGTACTGTTAACAAAACTAAAGTTCAAAATTTCTTAAATATGAATTTAGACAACATTTCATTTCTTATCTTAAGAAGCTCCTACCTACTACTATTGAGTTCAAAAAACCAACTAGCCTTTATGAAAAACATAATGAAACCTTTAGACATGCCAACTATCACATACTTACCTGTACAGACCCTAAATGTTCTTATCTTGAGCCAGTTACAACTAAAGATAAAGAAAAAAAGTCTGATAAAGAAAAAGAATCAAAAATTAAAATTAAATCTAACAACAATAAAAAAAATAAACTCTAAGTTACAACTTATACACAACTCAACTAAACTTATTAGAAATATATTTGACATATCATACAATACTTACTTAAAAGAAATCGAAGCCTAGAATAAACCCTTTCTTGATACTTCAATATTCTATATTAAAGGAAAACATGAAGCTATATTCACTAAACAAATCTTTACTACAGTTTTAGATAAATTGGCAGAAAAGCAAAAGAGTATATCTGTTCTGCTAATTCTGTTAAGACTAATTCAAAATAACAAGCCTTCTACTTTTATCGATACCTAACTATTTACCAAAATATTATTACTGAAAACTATAACATTGATAAAATGAACAAAAAATAGGCTATTAATTTCCTTATACCTAAACTTATTGATATTAACTTCCTTGCACATGTTATTATATACTTTGACTATACTTACAATGAATCTTCTAACTATTTTGTAATAACAAATTTTATAAAGAAAA